TGGGGGAAGGTTTTGACCTTGGCATAGCCGTGATCATGTCAACAACACGCATCCACTCAGGGCTTCATTCACTTGGAGTTTCCTCTGCTCCCTCTAAGAAAAGATGTTGACGTTGCCCTCTCCTTTGCAGAGGAGTTAGCCACACACATTACTATTTCTTAGTAAAGAGAGCAAAGAGAAGAGTAAAAGATAATATTCTAGAGTTTATAAAAATATGTAAACTAATGGTTCTGTAGCCAAGTCCTACAAAGAACTGAAGTACATGCTGCCTTTGAGGGAACAATGAACTACCTCCATGGAGATTGGGAGCAATGGGTCCATCTCCAGGAATTGGGGAGCCATGGACTCACCTCCATGGAGTTGGGTCAGTAGGCCTAAGATCAAATTTTAGAAGGATGAGAAGTGAGAAGATTCTTGGCATGGAGGAAGTGAGCTTTGCAGGCAGAGCATCTCAGCTTTCAGGTGCCCACTGTCAAAGCAGCCTGCATCCACCCCTGCCCTTAGGTGCCCGCTGTCAGAGCAGACCCTGGGGAGGAGAGGGCAGGTCCCCAGATATCTCTTGGGCTTTGGAAAGAAGTTCACCATATATCTTCAATGAAGTAGATTCAATTAAAACTCAAAGCTGCTAGATTCTCCAAGTCAGTGCTTCCTAGTTGTCCCACACATTCCCTCCTCACTATCTTCTGAGGGTTACTTGATCCTATTGTATCTGTAAAGTAGAGCCGCCATTCCAAGGTGTGCTTAGATAGGCCGTGTCTCGTCACAATATTGCTTTCAGTGCCTTGGAAACTTGAAATTGTCCATGGTAGTAGTATTTAGACAACAGAAATGAGCAAGGGCTTAAAATCAGCCCACATTTACTATTGTTTTGATGACTAGCTAGTCTTAAAAAAGATAGAGAAAAATCTCCAGTGCAGAAAGCATAAGTGTGTCCTGTCTGCAATTGTCACATTATGAAGATCACAAAATAAAAAATCTGAGGAAATATTCTTTGAGCAATTGAAAACTACGGTCTGATTTAGTGAAGACTCCATGTATGCCATCCACGACCCATACAGTTTTGACAAGTGCCTTCATTTTCTCTACTCATTAGTGTGGATGAGAATATTAACCACGATGCCCTTCAGAACTGTATCATTCCCCATTTGGAGCCTTGAGTGGGAATGGTAAGAAATGTCTGCCAAAAGTGGGCAAAAGCTTTTTTTTAGGAGATTTATTGACTTTTTGGAATTTATAAGACAGCGTTTTGGTAAATTTTATTTCTCCTTGTGAATCATATACCTTCTCTAAATCAGCAAAATGTGTGACAAACTGATGAAAGCAAGCTTATGGAAGAGCACCCAGACAGCTTCTCTGTGTCCTCAGTCCCTCTACCTTGAGCAGCACACTATGGTCCTAATGACACTCACAGATTGAAACTTGGGAATCTTCCCTAAGGCCATTCAAGTAAAGAACAAACTGATGCAGGGGCTTAGGCTGCACTGTGGATTGTGGGGCTTTTGAATAAATTGCCTATGCCAGACTCAACTTCCTTCCTTCCTTCCTTCCTTCCTTCCTTCCTTCCTTCCTTCCTTCCTTCCCCTTTCTTTCTTTCTTTCTTTCTTCCTTCCTTCCTTCCTTCCTTCCTTCCTTCCTTCCTTCCTTTCTTTCTTTTGTTCTCTCTTCCCCTCTATCTTTCTCTCCCTCCTCTTTATACATACATATATACATATATGCCAAAAATAATCAAGAAAATGGCTACCAACTTGAGAGCTGGTGTGCGCAACTTGATTCTTTATCTGCTGTTTTGTCTAAAAAAAAAGAGTTTATATTCATTGCATGCTCAAAAATGCTGAACACACAGTAGTATCTCTCCTTATGAGACTGCCAATGAAATGTTAGTTCCATAAAATCTCCACAGCAAGATGGACTCAAGAAGACAAGCAAGTGGATCAGCAAAGATGGAGCTGACGTGGGAGAAGAAAAGATGGGAAGAAAATGGAGGCTGCACTTGTTCCTCACTTAACTCTCCCAGACGGTGTTCACCACTGCACATCACTAACAACATTGCACTTAAATTTCACAACCAGTGTTGTGAATCATACTACCAACTTTATTTTACATTTAAGAAACCCAGGCTTAGAAAGAATCAATAACTAGTCGAGCCTGCCATGGAGCTGGGATGCCTCCTGGCAGGGCTGACATAGGTCGAGTCTACAAGTCTTCCTCCTTGACTGAAAGATGTTTGGCAATAAGCCAGGACTTTCCCTTCCCAGGGCCTGTAGTGTCAGATCCATTGAGAGTGCTTTGGGTTATGCTGTGCAGCATATGACCCTGCTTTAAGAGGACACGTCTTAGAGCCTTGGTTTAGAGAATCCAGGACTTACTGGGAATATTGGAGTTGCCGCAGGCTGCTGCCCTGGAGGTGGTGAGGAAGATACTGTGCTAAGAATTCATGTGACTTTTGCCATGGAGGTTAAATCCTGGACACTGAAGGAGAAGGATCTCAAGGAAGCCAGTT